TGTGTCACCACTGCTCTAAAATAGATGCAATGGATTCCTAGAAAGCTGCTGCCCATGTAGTCAGTGTCGGAATCGAGAATGCTATAGAGAATCAATGAATCAATGTAGTGTAACTGTAGTATCAGTTGCTCTCTATCTATTGACTTCTTTTTCAGCTATTGGATAATACCTGAGCCCTCTTTATTTCGAGAAATGATTCTGATCTATCGACGAGGACTGGTACGTGCTTCATGATTCCACTTTCAACTATCGGGATATTGTGTTCTAGCGTGTCGTAGAACTGTTATGTAAGAAAGGACAAAGAACTGCTCCACGCTCCACTCAAAAGGTGACAATGTGTGTCTGCCTTCACATGCACCCACCAAGAGATAAGCCTCTAGAATGGCCATTTCCAAATAGGCTAGTACTAAGGGTGCCTGAGTAGTCGAAAAATAGTACGAAGAGATACAAACGGTGACCAGAGGTTTCAGCAAAACAGGACAGTTTGGCTTGTGCATTAAAAAAACACCATCGTCGAAAGAATGTTAACTAGCCATGTCAGCACAGGAGATCAGAAAGTGGTCCTGCAAAGGAGGACTCCTCAGAAAACTGTACCATTGTATTAAATGCCAGACCTCACCAAGCAAAAGCTAGACGCGAGGATCTGACCGAAAAAGAGCGTTCGCAGATGGTGTCTCACTTTCCTTGACCCTAGGTTCTTCTGTTATGTCAAGTGGTATTTGAGTCATTATGAAGTCTATTTTGTTGGATTGAAAGAGAATGATCTTCTATTTGTGCTGGAGCAATTTTTTTTCCGATTGCTTCCAACTGGTTCAGTTGGTGTTTTTCAGGATGTGGGTATGGTCACTCTTATTTATTAATCTATTTGTTGCAACATGACTCATAGCAGGGATTATCAACGTGAACAGTTCAGAGTTCCACATCGATCGAAGGAAAAACATCGGAGTCGTGGTTTTGACGTGAAATGGTACAAGAATACTGGCCGACGAAGATGGTATTAGCCCCAGAAATAATGAATAAAGTGCTATAAATAAAGTGCCAAGTATGAA